AAAAATACTGCCCACTTACCAGAAAGGCACAGCCCACTCCTCTGCTGCACCCCAGACAGCTCCTCAAAAGGAGAACTCGTCTTGCCACCCATGCCTCCTCGCTCCGGGCGAAGGCACCTCCCCAAGGTGGCCAGGGGGCCAGAGCCTGGAAGAAGCTGAGCCTTGGTGCCAGGCAGCTGCTTCAGATCCCAGCTCATTACTCTTCTCTTTGAGCCTGTTTCCTCATCTGAGAAATGGAAATACAAATAGCTAATGTGTGAGTTCAGCTAAACGGGATAATGTCTATAAATCATGTCGTTTGGCACCTGGCACTCAGAGGGCACCTATGAATTCTAGCTAGGCACCATCAGTCCTACTGATGGAGAGAGACTGCCACATGCTGGAGCCCGGGGGTAGGTGAGCTAGAGGAAGAGTTCTTGCACTCAAGGGCTCCTCGGCTGTAGGACCTGTCCTGTGCTGGGGCAGCTGACAGGGACTCGCTCCTCTGCAGTGAGGCGTCAGGGCTCTCTGCCTCCAGCCTGCTCTGGAATTGCAGGAGGAGGCAAGAGTCCAGTTAGGAGGCTCTGAAGCACTTCCTAAGCATCTAGAGACACAGGAAACATGGTTGTGGGAACCCCGGGAGGTCCCAGGCCAAGTTGATTTTGGCATGAATAGGAGGCGCTATGGTACTTCGGGGAGCTCTAAACTGCAAGCCCAGATTCTCAGGCTCCCAAAATAATGGACTTCCTTTGACCGTGGGCCTCCTGTGTGCCTGGCACACCACACAGAACCCTTCTTGGCCTTTTGATGGTCCCACAAGGTAAGTATCATTATCCCAATCTAGTGGTGGGAAAGCTGATACTCAGAGAGGTTAAGTCACTCGCCTAAGGTCTCCCAGCCAGGATTCAAACTCAAGTTCTCCAACCAGGTGACCTTGGACAGGCCATTTCAGCGAGGTGTCTGAGTATCCTCCTTGGTCAAATAGGCATAATACTCCACATGCCTTCTCCCTAGGGCTCTTTGTGAGCTCAGATTGGGGGCTAGAGGCAGAAGTCTGTTGTGAGCTGCAAATCTTTGTCTAGTCAAGAGGAAATGTGTAAGATGCAGGCTTTGTCTTGGAGATGCAGGAAGGTGCTGAGGTGTATGTTGGGGGTGTCTGAGAGCAGACTTTCCAGGTTGCACTGCTGGCTCTGGGGCTTGCTTGTTCCTATGGAGGTTGCGGGGTCTCCTTATGCAAAAGAACAGAAAGCTTGGCTTCACAATGTGGTAACACAGGAATGGAAGAGAAAGGATCCCTTTATCAATCTCACAGAGGTAAGAGGTGAATTACTACTACTACTAATAATAATAACCATCACCCATGTTGTGCTCATCAAGTGTGTGCTGGATGCTGTTCTATGCTTCCATTCATTAAGCACTTACTAAGTGACGGTCACCTTCCTAAGGGCTCTACATGAATTAACTCACCTAAGCCTTATGAGCTTCCAAGTATTATTATTCCCATTTTACAGATGAGGAAACTGAGGGAATTCCCTGGTGGTCCAGTGGTTAAGACTCTGCGCTTCCACTGCAGGGGGTCTGGGTTCAATCCCTGGTCAGGGAACCAAGATCCTGCAAGCCGTGCACGTGGCCAAAAAATAAAAATGAAAATAAAGATGAGGAAACTGAGGCTTCAAGAGATTTAAAAAATGAAACTCCCAAGTTGTGGTGAGTTGGTAGATAGGAGTGGTTTCAGAGTCAGGCAGTTTGACTCCAAAAGCTCAAAGGAGTTGCCTTCTTTCTCTACTGTCAGTGTATCTCCCTGGTATTTGATCACATTTGGTGATGCTGTCCAGTGTTTGAAGCTGAGCTTGTCAGTAAGCTAGACTTCTTCAGGCTCTTCCCCACTGCACCTCCCTCCATTGCCCATCTGTGGTGGGACCCAGTCTCTATTCCTGAGCCTAGATAAATGGGGGCTTGATATATTTGACTGGATATATTCTGATTGGCAGGAAAGAGCGTGGACTGGGAGTCTTGTGCTAGGGGATCAGGTGCAGGCTCCACCACCGGCAGACTCTTGGGCCTCGTGCAAGGTACGTCCCCTCTCAGGGTCTCATCTTCTCCTCTGTAGGATGAAGGAGATTGAGCTTGAAGGTCCCTGGCTGACCTTGTGGGAAAACTGAGAATTTGAGTGACTTGACTAAAGTCACACATTTCATTCATGGAATTGCTGGGGTTAGTCCCGAGCTGTTGTCCCCAGATGCCACGGTCTGGAGAAAGAGGCAGGTGGCTACAATGCAGGCTCACAATAAAGACCACAGACTGAAAAATGGGAAGCAGGAAGCAGGCAAGATTCGGGGCAGGGAGGTCTTCTCTCACCACCCTGGACAGAACGGTAGATTGTTTCGTTGGCTCCCAGGACAACTTGTTGGGAGAAGTGGAACCCTCCCCGCACCTCCCAGCCTTGGCCCCTCTCCAAGAAACGGGAGGTGGTGGCCCCATCTTTCAGTTCTGCTTCCTCCAGTCATGGTTGGCTGGGCCTTTAACGCAAGCCTGCTATGTTTGTGTTCCTGTAGCCCCCACCCAACCCATTATAAACAGTCCACCCCCACCAGGGCCTCTCGTTGGACTGGAAAGTTCATTCTCTGTGATATGTGGGTCTGTGTTGAGACCCTCCAGAGCTAGCAAGAGTTGTCGATGAGTGAAAGGAGAAGAAACACCTGGGAGGTGGTGGTAAGTTGTGCGTGTGTGTTTTCTCACAACCTTTCCCTGCTTCAGTTTCATTTTATTCTGGCCCAGGCTGGGCACTCAGAAGGCTGTCTTAGATCCTCTGGCCAGCTCTCTTCTCACCTTCTCCAAGAAGCTTCTTTTGATTCTTTGCAGCATGTATCTGCATCCCAAGTATAGCGGGTTGAATAGTGCCCCCCCGCCCCCCCGCCAAAGATATGTCCACATCAAATCCCTGGAACCTTGAATGCTACCTTATTTGGGAAAAAAAAGGGCTTTGCAGATGTAATTAAGTTAAGGATCTTGAACTAATATCTTGGATTATCTGGGTGGTCGCTAAATCCATGTCCATTTAAGAGAAAGGCAGAGGATTAGGAGGTGATGTGACCACTAAGGCAGAGAATGGAGTGATGTGGCCACAAGGTCACAAGTCAAGGAATGCCATCAATTCCCAAAGATGGAAGAGGCAAGGAAGGATTCTCCCCTGGAGCCTCCAGAGGGACCATGGCCCTGCCTGCACCTTGATTTTTGACTTCTGGCCTCCAGAACTGTGAGGGAATAAGACTCAGTTGCTTCAAGCTACTAGGCTTGTGGTACTTTGTTGCAGTAGCAATAGGAAATGAACAGACCATGGAATCATAGACTCCCTGCACTAGAGAGTAGGGCAGGGTCATTGGAGCCACGCAGATGAAGCTTCACACTGGCTCTAGCCAGCAAGAGCTGCACATCAGGGGGCTGCTTAGCCTCTCTGAGCCTCACGCTGCTCATCTGCAAAAGGGAGACCATAATGCCTACCTCCCAGTGCCAGTGTTTTGTTTTGTTCTAACAGCTTTATTGGGGTATAATTCAAATGTCAGACAATTCACCCATTTAAAGTGTACAATTCAGGGACTTCCCTGGTGGCACAGTGGCTAAGACTCCACGCTCCCAATGCAGGGGGCCCGGGTTCGATCCCTGGTCAGGGAACTAGATCCCACATGCATGCCGCAACTGGAAGTTTGCATGCCACAACTAAGGAGCTTGCCTGCTGCAACTAAGACCCAGTGCAACCAAATAAATAAATAAATATTATAAATAAATAAATAAATAAATAAAGTGTACAATTCAATGGCCTTTTTGGTATATTCACACAGTTGTGCAAGCAGCCCTCAGCCAACTTTAGAACACTTCATCATTCCCCCAGAAGAAACCTCATACCCACTAGCAATTGTTCCCCATTTCCCTCCACAATTCTACCTCCACTGTAGCCAACTACGAATTTACTTTCTATCTCCAAAGATTTGTCTGTTCTGTATATTTCATATAAATGGAATCATACAAAATGTGCCTTTGTGTCTGGCTTCTTTCACTTATCAGGATGTTTTCAAATTTCATCCATGTTGAAGCATGTATCAGTACTTTCTTCCTTTTTATGTCTGAGTACTGTTCCACTGTATGGATATACCACATTTTGTTTATCCATTTATCCATTGATGGCCATTTGAATTGTTTCCATTTTTTGGCTATTATGAACTATGTTTTTATGCACATTTGTATACAAATTTTTGTGTGGACACAGCCAGGGTTGTTTTGAAGATTAAATGAAATAGAACCTAAGGCATCTGATATGTCTTCCAACAATTAATAATGAAAGATATTAGAGGAAATATGCCCCAACTCTTTCAATTTACAGATTAGGAAACTGAAGCATGATGAAGCATGAAGAGGAGCACAGATTTGCTTGAGGTCATCCAAGGCAGGAGAGCACAACACTTCAATGCAGGTCCATGAATCAGACTGCCCAGAACTAAATCTTGGTTGGACTTGGGTTACCTTTTGTAGGTCACTTCACCTCTACGGGCCTCAGTTTACTCATGTGTAAAATGAGGTTAGTAATAGTACCTACCTCATATGGTTGTTGATGTGAGGATTAAATGTGCTAGACCATGTGTCTGGCACATAGTAGGTGCTCTGTACATCTTAGCTGTTATCATTCATGGTAGTGCCAGCAGCAGAACTTAGGTCTCCTGGCTCCCAGGTATGAGAGGTCTTGAACCTACGCTTCTCCAGTTCCCTTTTCTGTATCATGGGCATCTTCCCAGTGTGACTGTAGGTTCTGTGGAGGAAGGACATAGGCCCTCTTCTTCCCACTGCCCTGAGCACATAAGAGGTGCCGAATGAGAACCTTTGCTCACTTCCTTTGGCTCTGGCCAACCCTGGCCTTTACCAAGCGACCCAGCTGGAGACTGTGATAGGTGTTAATTCCCTGCATCTTTCCAACACCCCATGAGCTAACTGAGTGCGTCTCCCTTCCAGGCAGTGGACAGCACACAACCATGGCGTTGGGGCCTCTAGAAGGCGGGTACCTGGAGCTTCTCAACAGCAATGCTGACCCTTTGCAGCTCTACCACCTCTATGACCGGGTGGACCTGGCTGGAGAAGAAGAGCTAGAGCTCTGCTCAGGTGGGCTTTCCTCCCCCCGGCCCCTTCCAAGTCCCTCCCCACCCCTCGGCCTGCAGTCGAGATGGCAACCAGGGCAAGTCCTGGCTGTGGAATTCCGGTCAGCACCACGGACAGCTCCAACTCCCTGCCTCGCTGGCTCCTACTGGGAACATCTCCCAGCCCGCCCTGCCTCTCCCTCCTTCCCCACCAGCCCTCTTCCCAGATCTTTCCTGCTTCATGCAACTGGCTTTTCCTCCCAGAACCTGATACGGACACCATCAACTGTGAACAGTTCAGCAGGCTGCTGTGTGATATGGAAGGTGATGAAGAGACCAGGGAGGCTTATGCCAATATCGGTGAGGAAGCATTACAAACCCAAAAAAAGGACAATTGAGGGAAAAGATTCTTTTATCTGTTTTGTTCATCTCGCCCATTCACCAGGAGCCTCCCTCAGAAATCAGGGCAAGGGGGGATGGGGAGCGAGGGCTAAAAGGACAGAGAATCGGGGAAAGAAGGGAGATGGAGAAAGGTCGGGAAATAGAGCCCTTCACTAATGAGCACCAGGCAAACAAATCTCACTTTTCCATCTTCTGCCTCCGTTTCTATACTTTTTTCTATTTGTTGCTCTTCTTTCCTTCCCACAAAGCCCATATCATATGCCCCTCCCTCCCTCCCTTTCTCCTCAGCTCCTAAGCTAAACTACTCTAGTATTTGTAATAACTACCTTTGGGGGGCACTTGTAGCCTGCAAATCACTGTGTATGTGTTATCATATTGAATCCTTACAAAAACAAAGGCAGTAGATACTATTAGTATCTTCATTTTACAGATGAGGAAATTGAGGTTTAGAGAGAGAAAGAATCTACCCGAGGCTGCATTAGAGACAGTAATGGGCAGGTCTGAAATTCAAAGTCCTTATTTTTCACCACAAGAGGGAAAGTATCTAGAGTGGGGAGGTTTGGTAAGGCTCAAGCTGAGAGGCTGGTTTGCAGCTTTAAAAAGACCTACAGTTTTCAGACAAGGGCAGAGCTCTTTGGGACTCTCTGGGGAGAGGTGTTTCTGCTGTTTTTTGTGGGGGGTGAAGGATCCCTCCTTACCAGGTTCACCACTGTCTCATACAGAGGCTTTGTTGAATTCAAAAAAGATGCCCCTTCTTCTAGAGGATGCAGCCCCCATTAAGATGTAACAGCTTGGCTATCAAAGTGCAGGCTGGATTCCTGCCCACATTTGCCCTTTTGGCTGGGCACCCTGTACAGTGAACCTGCACAGATGTTCTTAGTGGCCCTTTTCCTGGCATCCCAAGAATCACATCACTTAGGAGGTCTGGCATGAACGTAGCTAGACTTTCCCCAACACATAGTTAATCCAGCATCATACAAGGACAGAAAATGGAGAGGAGCAGTAACTGTATGTGTCTCAAAGATTACAGAACTGAGAACCTACCTGCTTCCTTTCCTTCCTCGGAATTTACTTGGGAGAAGCAGAAATGTTTAGGGCTGAGAGTATTCACATTTCCTCACAACTGGAGGCAGTAATGAATGAGTTGGGCTTCTTCCCAAATCACTTAGGATTTGGGGGCTTTTTCCCCTTAGGGGCATCTACACAGGAAGTGGGAGCAAGTACAGGAGGCAGCTTCACCCAAGTCTGTTCCTAAAGTCTCTGGTACTGGGCATGCAGTCATCTGAGGCACCCCGAAGTATTACATTGGCTTCCATTCCCATAAAACGGGAATAATAATCACACCTGCCTCATGGGATCACCGTGAGGATTGAATAAGTTTTTGTGCATAGTGTTTAGAGCAGGAATTTGCGAAGAGTAAGCATTCAGTAAGTGTTAGGTACCACCCCACAACTACCATCAACATCATCATCATTATATTTATCATCATCTTCATCATTATCACCATTTATTCCCTCACTCCATTCCTCACTCAGAAGCCTTTTATGGCTCCCCATGGCCTATAAAATCCAGTCCTAACTTTCCCCAACATGAAACTTTTACTGAAGACACCTATTTCTAAGAGTTTCCCAAACACCTCTTCTCACTCTGTCCCCACTACCCAGAAAGCCCTACACTTTTCACCTCTCAGACTCTAACCGC